ACTAGGAAAATACCGCAGTACACCGAACGCAGCTGTGCCTGGTCCTTCCCTCGGTTTACTTGTGTCCGATTTGCATACATCTCATTCAGTCCGTACATGAATTATCGTTTTAGAAAACATTTGAATGAACAGCCTCCAGAGAAGCAGTACTAACAGATTGTATTATTAAATGGAGGCTGTGTTACGCTTTTCTATCACATTTCTGGAGTTCTCTGAATTTTTTAAATTCGCAAGAAAGCGCCGCTTGGCATTAAATGTAAAGACGGTCAAGCAGTACATGGAAAGTGAGTTAAGCCTCCCGCTTGACTATCTTCAAAAAAATGCAAGTACTGTAAGATAATAAAACGCAAACCCTGATGAAAAAATAAATGAGGAAGAATATATTAAATCCGAGATCGATTTGCTGTGATGGACTATCCGACCAGGATACACATGTTTCCACTTGAAAATTTGGACTGAAATCTTTGTTTGAATTTTTGTTGCATCAGTAAACATAATTACTACTTCGCAAGTGGGAATCCAAAACCCTCGACAAGCTCAAGCATTTAGCTCAGTCTAGTTTGATTGAAGTTTAGCCTGAGTGGACAACGCGTGCTGTACCGTTAACAAGTTTTTGACTTCACAAAACCATCCCTGGCAAGCTTCATTCGTATTTCAGAAAGATTCAGCTTCTTTGACTTTTATCGTAAGATGTGATGCGCCTTTCACTGTACCGTTTCACCCGCTACTACTGATAAATGAACGAATTTAGTTTGAGAATCTCCTCCAGTTAAGTTAGCGCCAGTTTCTTTTGTTCAACCTCTGCTGATTACGGTGCGAAGCAGCTTCTTAATGAAGCGCAACAAACTGCTAGTCTGTAAGTCCCACTGTACTTCGATATTCTAGGGGTTTGCTACTGTATTACAGTGATGAGATCGGATCAGTTTCACCAGCGGTTTATGAAAAATACTTTAAAAACTAGCTGCGGAGGAAAAGTCAAAAGCCATTTTGTAACTTTCTTCACCGGTTTTTGCTAAATACCTCTAGAAAAACAGAGAGGTATTATGCTTTAAAATGTCAAGATGACAATAAATGAGTTAACTGAATCACGCAAGGATAACCAAGTAGAACAAAATGGTGGCCATTCGAGTTCTTCAGCCAACATGTACTTTGTTATTTTATTTTTGTTTGTAAGTGCGGACTAGCCATGCAAGCACGAAGAATAAAATTCACTGCTGCGGCTGGTGGGAAAACAAGTTGCAAGCGAGAAAGGAAAGGGGCTGATATCCAGCGATTTGTTGTCACAGGGGCCATAATTTAGTGCCCATTCCACAGAAGCACTTGAGAAATTAGAATAAGTGATTACAACTATAGAAAATGACAAATCTCATATTGCAGAATCATTAATGAACGTTTTTACTATTTTGTGCTGGGTGCAGAACATCAGGCCCTTTTTTTCTACAACGGGCTGCTTATCTCCACTTCCATTATCTCAGTTAAGCGCACCCATTGCGTTATCGGACACCATCCAAGCAGCAAGTGGCATGAATAGCTGCAGCAAATGGTTAAGGGAATTTTGCTTTTTTAAGAACTTGCTAAGCAATTGAGAGCTGTGTGCTGGGAAAAATATTGTCCTGTTCGCAAGCGGAAAGCAAATTGCATTTCAATTTTGCGCTTTTTTTTATACATACGTTTTTTCAAAAGCCTTTATTTTTTTCAGTTCAAGACTCACAATTTTTAAAAACTGGAATGTATTTAGGATGAAATGAATAAGTGAGCGAATAAGTAACAGTTTTCTGAACTGAATTTCTTTTTACCGGAAAAGTACTGTCTCAGCATTTACAGCTACGAAAACGGTAGCCAAATTATAGCACTTAGTGAAATAGTGCCTTAGTGACGAAAAACGCAGTTCACAGCCAACACTAGAACTAACCTGCCAGTTCTTGTTCGCACATTTATATTATGAGAGCGATGCAGTTCTTTATTTCTTCAGGAAAACGAACCCAGTAGCGACTCAAACCAGTGTTGTCGGAGCAGTCGTGAGTTTTCACAAAATGAAGCTTGCTATAAGCGCGGGTGAAAGCTACTGCTACTTTTTGTGCCCCACAAAATCAGGCATTTTCTATAAAATTTCAGCATTTCTGCCTGCCTGGTTGACGAGAGTGTAGGATAAAGACAGCACTGAAATTTGAGCATTTGATTTGTCTGTACAGGGGAGACACTTATAAGTAAAAGCTCCTTTTTATGCTTAGCCCCTATATGAACAGCAAACATTTCCCAAGAAAAATGCTGCTTCATGCTTAGTCTGGCTAACGAGTTAATTAACTGCCACCAATGTCTCAAACTAAAATTTTGCTTGCACGCATGCGAGACCTACGCGTGATTTAAAGCTGAATTTAATTTAAAATATTTTGGTCAAACACGGGTACAGTATAACTTAAAATTTCAGCTTCCTATCCTGAGCGGTCCGCGAGGTCGCCTTTTATTATAAAAGTCTTCGACGCGTCTGAACAAGCGATACAGGCATATGCCAAAACTTACTTTACCTGTATACAGGTACCAAATATTCTTAAAAATTCAAGGCACTCTTTGCGACCTGTTTTACGAGGTAGCATTTTGCTTCGATTCCAATTCTATGCTTCGATTTCAATTCTAGTGTATCAGTAGGCTTGCGTAATAGCCGAATTTGAAATACTTGGCTCAAATAAGCGTATCGACCAGCTTTTTGAAATTTCAGCTTACTCGCTTATCTGGCTCTCGAAATCATCATTCTATCAAAGCTTTTTTACGTTTTTTTCCCGGACTTGCGTACGTGAGATTCTGGCATAAGTAAGCAATGATTTTAAAGTGGAAGAGTCGCAAAAAGAGTGGGAGCATGGTTTGAATGTTTCAATTTCCTAGCTTCTCTGGTTGTTCAGCTGAAAGAAGGCGACAAAATGCGAGAAAACACACACAGACAACCTCCTGCCAATATTTATTTTTAGTGCATTTGCATAATCATGCAGAAACGTATAAAAAGTCGATAAACGTTTCAAAACGTTACTACGGACACCAAATTTTCATACACTCACACAAAGGAACGACTTTCCAGCAGCACAAAAACATTAACTCCAAATACACTTCTTAACAACTAAAAATTTACTGTAGCGGCTGATTAGCGCTACTACATGAGGCTCGACTCCACCACTAGAACAGTTTATCCTCCTATGATTCGTTCAACTTTTTTGATGGTAAATTGGTAATGAAATACGTCAGAGATTCACTATCAGCCTTCTTTTATGTAGTCCTCAGAAGGGGGAACCATTAACAGAGCTAGTCGCTGAGCCTGTGATGCTACACTATGAGGTCCTGTAAAATTTCAAGTTTCTAGCACGTCTGATGAAGATGAGAGGAGAATGCCGATAATTTTGCAGAGGGGATTTTGATGTGTCAGCGCACAGGACGTAGATATAACTGAAGGCTCATTTTGCGTCTGTGGGTCCGTACATTTACAGCAAACATTCCTTGTAAAAGAAATAGTGTTTGCTCGGTTTTGTCCCGATTTAGGATACCAACAAGCTTACAAACTGAAATTTGCCGTGTTCGTATGCATAAGCTGATTTTATGTTTCTGAAGCCGCACAAGCTATTTCAGCTTCCCAGCATGCCTGGACCGCAAGAAAAAGATGTCGAACAATTTGCAAATTGCATATTTAACGTGTTCGAACCAGAGATATACGTGTGCGTGAAAGCTCATTTTATGCTTGCGGGACGCACATGGATATAGAGTATCCTCGTGAAATTTCAGCTTCTTGTTTAGTCTGGCTTTCGAAATTATTTTTTCGTTAATGATTTTTCAGTTTTGGTTACAAACGCCTGTGCTTGGTAAGCAAGCAAAATTGGAAGTTAATTTTATGTTTATGATGTCGCACATGGATCAGTAATATCCTTGTAAAATTCCAGCTTCCTGGCCGCTCTGGCTGCTGAGTTGAAAAAGTGAGGGACAAAATCCGAAAACAAACACGCACACCAACTTTCACGCACGTGTACACACAAACACATATACACATACGCACCGACAACCTTTGTACAGAATGTTTCTGCACACCATCAGTGATGGATACGCATAAAAGTTGAACAGTTTTTAACTTTTTGAATTTAATAGGGCTTGTTTTAACCTGTAAGCCATAGTGCACAAATAATGGTATTTGAAACTCTGATAGAGATATAAGCTTACAAGAGGCGAATTTATGCATGTGAGCTTACTTATAAAATGTAAACTTACTTGTAATTTAGCAAACTATAACTAACCGTCGAGTAATGTAAACTTTTTCAAGTAAACTTCTTCATTAGCGATGTCAAAAAACCTTGGGCATATTACGTGGAGCAAAAGAATTTCTGGAACTGGTGCGTCATAATCGAGTCGCGATAGGCGATAAAAAGGCGGTGAGTGGCCTAATCGCTTGTGTCACACTAATTTTTAATAAAAAGACAAAGAGAAAAAAAAGAAAAAACTTACTGTGAGGCATCGTAGAAATAAATAATAAGGGATCCGATAGACAGTATGAATACTAATACGACGAGGATGCGACCTGTCATACTTTGGCCCGAAATCAGTTCGCCTGCCCAGTCTTTTGCCTCTGTCATCCAGCCAATTTGAACTTCTTCTTGCTTCAACGCAATGCCATCTAGTTCCCCTTTCAAAAGCCCATGCTTTCCTTCGTCCTGCATATCCAGAAAATTCATCATAACGGAATTTTCCACATTTTGGTAATAAAGAGGTCTAATTTCACAAATGGTAGCAAGGATGTGCAATCAACCATCAATTTATGTACGAAAAACAAAAAAAGGCGAATGTGAGTTGGGTGGACGCGTTTTTCAAATGAGGCTTGAAGGAAGTGTCACCTGGTCAAGCACAGCATCGATGTCCTCACGTTCTCTTCGTTGACAGAATATATGTGTGATGATCCGCCAAATAACCACCAATAACATCGATACACAAAATGTTACTATGCTGAAAAAAACAGATGACAAGTACAACTACAGATCAGCCACGTTGCGATTCTGGGACATTCCATCACAGCAAAACCATTCCACAACAGGTGGTGTTTCAAAACAATGTGCTCTTTACGACATTCCGACAAACCACATGAATTTGACATGAAAATCTCTTGTGGATCGATAAGCTATTGTTGCGACAGTACCAGTAAAGAGTATTTTAACAGCAGCTGATCTAGTAAGGGTGAAAAATTTTTTTGATGACCTAGCTCTGCTGCTACCATTGCTACTTGAACCAGGTGATTAAAGCAAGTGAAAAGCTGGCATATGCGTAGCTGGGAAAGACGCTATGAACTGCAAATAGCCAAAGTATTAAAGAATATTGCATTGTACGGCAGACAGCCAACTAATTCACTCTCCGGTTGTGCTGTGAAGACGTAAAAAAATTTTGAGCTTGTGTCATGTTTCATTTGTAAAATCTGCCTCAACTTAGGCCTGATCAGTATAGAGAAAAAGCTTAAAATTGAGTTTAGAAAATTCAGTTAACACACAATAAACCACCCGTCCGAAAATTTCGAGCTTATCTTTTTTCGAAATTTTAAAATTAATTCAATTGCAATGAGATTTTTTCTTCCACTGATTTTAGAATATCCTATTTGCAGTGCTTAGTAAACAAAGCTTTCGAGTTTTCAGGTTAGTGACGCTGTCCATAATCGAAATGTGGACACTGTTTAAAAGTGGACTCGAGGCTACAAGTTGGGGAAGAGGGAGAGATGAAAGCTGATACTGACGTTGTGCTCTCTATGACCAATATTAAATTCTCCTCTAAACTAAATTGTCCGGATAGACACCCAAACAAATGCCACAGATACGATCTCGCCGCAAAGTGTTTTCTTACAGAATACGTTGAAAATGCATCAGAGCTGAAGATGCAAATTTTTAGCTGAAAAAATTGCTCTCAAATACTACGGTAAAGTAATACACACCTGCGAAGTGATACAGTCATGTGTTTTCGCAAAAATTTTGCACAGTAAATATTTTTTTTTTTGCAAGCTGGCTTGAATTGTACATTCATTTAAAAACTTTTTAATGAATTTTGACATAATTATGCAAATGCAAAAAAGCATGTTTCAAAAAGATGTGTGCTTAAGTATTTGTTTATGTTTGTGTATGCCCGTGTACTCATTCGCTTTCCTCTATCCATTTTCAATTCAGCAGCCAGAGAAACTAGAAGGCCGAAATTTTTAGAGTACGCTGCCACCCCGCCTTCCTATCCTAAAAGTCCGCCTTCACGTACGTCTAGATTTCACGTACGAAGTTTTAGTGGGAAAATAACTGAAATTCAGATACGATAGGAGAATGAAATTCTCAAGAACCTCATCTGCTGTTATGTGAACTAAAGATTTCAAATCCAGCTATTATGCTACTACACTGCAACAGCCAGCAAGGACGCATACTGTCACTACCCATGAATGCACTGCATGCGTGTGTTCTGGGTATTTCAACTCGGTAATTACGCAAGCTTAGGTGCTGGAGTTGTGCCAGTGTGTCTCTTGGCCAACTGCATTTCCAGAAACAAGATACCAACTTTTGCGCACGTTAATACATAAGCACCTCACACATGGACGCGTGGAGGTTTTGGCGGGAAAAATGTCAATCCGGGGACCAGAAATGCAAGAAGGTAGACATTTTAGAGGGATGTTCTCTGCCCATATTGGAACCGAGGCTTTCAAATTCAGCTGCAAGGTACAACTGAACTTCACGTACGCGAACGTAAAGTTTAGGCTGGAAATTGTTGGGAACTTTTCAAGTCCGAGAAAAATACGACAGGAAACTGATGCTCTGCGACGATGTTTTGTAACGAGCGAGCCTCGATGTCCAAATTCAACTCTCACATAAGCATAAGCAGATCCGGGGCGGCTCCCTTTGCGGAGGGGTTACGAGTGGGGCTTCTACTAATGATGTGCAGGAGGGAGGGGGGGGAGATGTGATTCTAGCGTAGGGATTATCGGGGGCTGGGGAAGGGGAAGCGACGGGGACGCAGAAGAGAGTTTTCTTCAGTTTTAGCTTTAGACCCTGACTTTTGTAGCACTGTTACTCTGAGCCGCTGGGGAGAGCGAAAGACCCATTGCCCTCCCCCCTCCCTCTGGATCCACATATATATACAAGCCGAGATCTCATTTAGGGAAGCGTGTTAACGTGAAATTTATTAATCAGGAACTGGAACAGCAGGATGTTGGAACAGCAGGATCCGCTCCTCTACCATATGCGACCTCGAAAAACTAAATTCAGCTTTAAGCTGAAGCGCGTGAAATCTGAAACTGCACAGTTTTCCAACTGTGTAACTTGACAAGCTGAAGATTTGAAACTTTTTGTATCATGATTGTTGGTAAGGCCTCTGTCCTGAAGTACGCTATATGAGCCAAACATAGCACTTTAAGTTAAAAAATTCAGCCTTGCTGCGCAATAAAAAGAAATTCTGAATGAAAATTATCATCAAATAAGTAACCATTTTAGCTGATCGCAGCTCACCAACAACCCTGATGTGCATTGCTACTGGCTTTCCGGATGAAGTAGGTGCAGGCCATCTTCTAAGCAGTGCTTCAGGAGATAACCCCATCTTCACTGTGATGTCAAATTAACTAGGATAATAGTCGAGGGACATGTACTGGCCTGTTTATCCTTGCAGGGATTACGAGACTGCAGAAGCACGAAGGGATGGAAAAAGGATTACCTTGAAAGCAGGAAGCACCAGTATTTACGTTCTTCGAGGCACTTTCGTTCATCATCAGTCATTTCTTGGAAGGCACGAGACATATTGCAATGCATTGGATAACTATAGGGCGCCGGAGGGAAACCCTTCGAACCCCCGGCACCCGAATGGTATACATCGTTCATCCTTTATGTGATAGGAATAGCAGACGCCGTGGCCGTCATTCGAAGACAAAGGAGCTGTGAATGGCAGCGACAGCTTGGTTCTGGATGCGCCAGTACATAGCAGAAGTGCCGGCCGACACCGCCGGGTAGCCCTCGGAGCGCCTCATCCTGGGCAGCGAAGCTAAGCGAGCTTACACTTCTTTCGTCCGCCTGCTGGCCGGCTGCCTATCCACTCATCCATTCATCCATCCATCTACCTAGCCTTCCTTCCAGCCAAGCCCCCAGCCAACCGAATCAATGCCATTCTGCCTATTTCGTTCCAGTTCTTCTCGTCACAACTTCAGCTCTCGATCAATACCCGTCCTTCGATCATAAAACAAAGCCTGCCGAAAACTCATTTCCTTCCGTGCCTCACCATTACAATGCCAAGACGTGCCATGAGCTATTTTTCGCGCCTTAAACAGTACTAGGCCCCGCTGGCAAATACCTCAC